GATTTCAACTACAGCAGTTCTACATCACCTATGTGCAGAGCCTATCTAATCCCCGACAAGAACCCTATGCTAAGATCCAAGAAATCTGATGATTTTACCTGCTGGTTGCCGTCTGCTTGTTGCCAACTTCCGTGCAGGAGGCATCGTGTTCAAAGGTGGAGTGAAGGAGGACGTTGCAGATGTTGGAGCAGGGCACGTCGTCAGCTCGAGATTCAGAACAGTGGGCTCGTAGGCTATGGAGAGGATGGCGAGTGCGGCGTGGGGGACGGGACGGAGAGGGAGGGGTGCGAGTGTGGAGTGGGGATGAGAAGGGCGGCGAGTGGGAAACCCTACCCGCGACTGGGGATAGGAAGGGTTCGGGACTGAGGATTTTACGTCCTTGCAATTTGATACAGCGTTGAATGTCCTATGCATGTTTGGATAGAAAGGTCATTGCATCCTAAATTTTTTGGGTCTAGGCGCCTCTAGCCCAAATCTTGGCGCCTCAGCCAAAATCTGGCGCCCATTGCCCGAATCCTGCACCAGTCAATTATTAGCTTTTCTTCCCAAAAAAAAGACATTCAAGGTGTTGTTTTTGCACTATAATATTAAGTCCACTTTTGGCCCCTCAACTATTGTGTTCGTCTGATTTTAACCCCCAACTATAAAACCATCTAGTGTTGGTACCCTAACTGTCAAAACCATTCAGTTTTAGCACCTCGTCGTGGAAGAGGCTGGTTTGTCCAGTGTGGAAAGGGTTTGACCATGCCACGTTGGCATTGATCGCCACGTAGGACGTTGGCCTGCATCTCAGTGACATGTGGGGCCCGCGCGTCACCCACTCATTCCCTCCCCTCCTTCCTCTAGCTCCAGCAGTGGCGTCATCTCCATCCCCGGCGCCGGCCGCTCGTCCGAGGCCACATCGCTGACCGCCCCTCCAACGGCCTTGACCACGGATAGCTGACCCCGCCCACCCGATTCCGCCCCACTGCTTGGCGTCCGTCCCACCAGCGGTCTCCACACCCGTGGCTGCGGCTCCGCGCCTCGCGGCCGGGCGGCCCCTGCGACGACCTCCATGCCTGTGGCTGGTTGCCCCCGGCGGAGGCGCACACGGCCTGCGACCCCTGTCCCTGTGCAGCTTCGTGCCCGCAGCCTATTCTCGTGGTCTGCTGCGGAACCGGCGAGCTCGGCTACGGTGCAGGGAGGCGGCGAGCTCGGAACTGTTGTTGTTATGCTAAGGGGGAAAAGTTGAATATGATCAATCTCATTGTCTACCCGTATAATCGTGATTCGTTGGATGTGGCTCATTAAGTATGCTTGTGTTGCTAATATGAAACCAATGACTTTAGTACGACCATTTCACCTATGGTGATGGAGGCGGACACACCAATATAGAGCAACTTCGGCGGGGAGCAATACCCTAAAAAGCTTTTTCATGGTTCTCCTATAAATCTTTGGTGTGGTGACTAGTGCACTGCTCTCACCGACCTGTACATGGTTTGTTTTTAATGACTTTGGGTAGAACCCAACCTAACTCGTTTAAAATGAACCAGAGTAATTTTAGGATCTTCAAAAAATTAATCAATATATTATGGAATAATAAGAACGTACAAATAAATAAATAAATAAATAAAGTAAAAAAATATTATAGGTCTCGAAACCAAAATCAGTCAGTCCATATTGCTGATTTGAGTATAGCTTTTGTATGTCACAGGAACGGAGATCATGTATCTATGTATCTGGAATGAAAAAAAAAATCTGAAACAAATTTTTGCACATTGCAGGACCTTTCCTCCTGTCCAAAATTTTACTGTCAGCACAAATACAACTTCAAGAACTGAGGTGTGGTAATTGTGCACAGTGCAGGACACATATACAGATAACACAACTCCAAAACCAGGAGGCACAAATCTAACGACTCCACAACCAGGAGCCATAAATCATCATAACAATATTGCAGTACATACTGATACTGTTCAGGAAACCACTGAAAACTAGTCCTAATGATAAAACAGAGAGCTCATCCAAGCAGATCAACCATCACCTGCATACATTAAGATATTTTGAACAAAATCTCAGAATTCTTATAAAGTTTAATGCAAATCCAAATTAAAGAAAAAAACAGCAGGCTTCCCATACCAGGATGACCGAGATGACTCACTCATCTTCACTATAGTCATCATCATCATCAGGGATTGTTGGACCTTCATTATCACTGACATATTGCCACCTAGTTTCATCTTCATCATCGCTTAGCTCATTTTCTAGCACATCCTGCTCCCTTTGTCTACGAAGCTCACCTACTACACTTGCATGGACATTTAAACAATCTTCATCATCTGGATGCTCATTCTCCAAATTTCCTTCATCAGCCAAAATTTCCTCATTTACTTGAACATGAAAACCTGCATTGTTATCATCGTACTAGGTGGCCGGCCGGTATGGATTATTTGTTGTAAAGTTTGAGACGATTTGTTAATTGTTTTGTGTTATAAAATGTTAATTTGTTTTTCTTGACTTACAATAGAAATAATTATAAATTGTTAATTGTCTTTGTGTCAACAAAGATCAGATTTTGTTAGATTTGTGGTTTTGTCTAACGAGTTTTTAATTCTCGGAACAAAAAAATGCAGATTATGTCTACATAAATTGCAAAGAACAAAAACTATAATTTTAGCATAAAACATATGTAATAACCGTCGCCTAAAAAAAGCTAAAATTTTAAGCACCTGAATTTTAGCAAGTCCCTTTTTTTTTGTCCAGCCCCAGTTACCAAGTGCTCGGCCACCAGCTTATCCGAGTCGGTAATTTTTCCGTTTTTCTGTTTTTGCGTCGGGTTCCAAAGCCTTTTTTTTCTTTTCTTTTCTTTTTCTGCCCGTGTCTATTTTGTTTCCCGTAGGACTTTCGCTTTTTGTTTCCGTGGGACACGGGGACTTTCACCTTCCGTGAGTTCCTTTTTCTTTATCTTTCATTTTTTCCTGTAAACATAATAGCGTCAGTCTTTTCTTTCTTTTATAGTATAGAAAAATGGAAATGGATTATTTTTCCATTTTTTCTTGTAAATATAAAAGTTAAATAATAAATATGGTATTATGGGATTTATCTTTTATATATAAAAATGGAAACAGAGTATCTTCCATTTTTCTTGTAAATATAAAAATGAAATAATAAATATGGTATTATGGGTTTTTGAATTATTGATCCTTCTCTAAACTACAAAAATAGTCATTGGCACCACTAAATAATTGAGGTTGTTTTCACTATGAATAAAACTTATTAGGGAGAACAGTATTCTTATTCATGTCTAGCAATCTAATTATGATTTTTATGCTCTCTTTTTTAATTTTATGATTTTGCCCTTGCGATTTGAAACCAAACCTTCGTTTCCTTGGTTTGGATGCCCATTAGTTAAGGGTGGAATAAACGATTTAAAAAAGCAAAACCCCGGGAAAAGGAGGGAAAAGGCGAAGTTGCCCCTTATCTTTATCTCCTTCTCGCTCCACTCGCATCTGAAATTCAAAAATTCGAGTCAGGCTTGTGGCAGGTCCGGCGGCTCGGGGTGGGTCCAATGGTGGCAGCTCACAGGGCGAGTCGATGTGCAAGCCAAGTGGTGTGCAGACGAGCGGGCTAGGGGTGGACCATGCGGCGCGACCGAGGGAGTGTTCGGCTGCCATTATAAGCCGGCTTATAAGCCATGGTATAATATTTTTCTCTCCCAACAAATCAGCCGTACAAATCAGCACAAACGGATTTACGAGCAGCCGAACAGAGCCCGAGAAGTGCGACGAGTGACGCGACAATTCATCCAAGAGGAGTAGGCGCGGTTCAAGGTAGAGGACCTACTCAGCGTGACCGATGTGGTGCTGGGCAGGGCGCGTCATACAAGGTGACCCTGCTAGACAGGCCGTCCCTGGTGGTGAAATGGTTCAAGGAGATGAACGGCGTTGGACGGGAGGACTTCTTGGAGCACATGTGGCGGCTTGGAGGGGGGAGTCATCCACCCAAGCACCTACCTCTTCAAGGAGGAGAAGTTGCTCGTCACGGACTATACGGTGAACGACGGCTTGGTTCATGCTCGATATCTAGATAGTATGAAAATTAAAGTTATGATAATACAAATAAATATTTCTATCTTACAATGAAGGAAAAAATCTATTAAGGTTGTATTTAATTTAATACAGACTTAATAGTACATTGTCATATTGTTGTCAATAATAACTTATATATTACAAATGCGATAATCATTATAAATTATAGCTATCAAATTTTACATAAATAATAATAAATAAATATATATGCCACATTCATGTCCTCATTTTCTATTAATGTTTGATAGTTTTTTTTTTTTCCGTTATAACACACGGGCATTTTTGCTAGTATAAAAAAAATCGTAACCGGACGTTTGCGATTGTATCCCTAAACCAGACGAGCAACGGCCGTACGGAGGGTGGGTGAATGAGATTCCGGCTCAAGCAACGAATCAACGAACGAAACGAAACGGTACCCTCCCGCATCCGCATCGCATAAAGTTGGCCTCACCGCCCGGCGTTACCGGACCTCACGGCAATATCCGGTCCCACCCGTCAGCCGCCCTCTCATCCACACGAATGCGCAAACCCCACGCGGGCCAATAGCACACGCAGCAAGCAAGCAGGGCGAATACGGCCGCTGGCCGCACGGGCATCCGACCCTTTTGTTGTGCGCATCGACACGGGACGGGAACCCGAACCAAATTGATCTGATCGAGCTTTTCCACCACCACCACCATCTCGGGAAAAAGGAAAATTTTGGAGAAAATTCCCATTGGCCCAGAATACTCAGCGCACGCCGCGACCTTCGCTCCCGTCTCCGGTCTCCGCCTGTCCCCCCTTCCCCCACCTATCGGGGCGCATCTCGATTCGCGGGAGCGAGAGAAATAGAGCCCTCCCGCTCGCCGCCGCCGCCGCCTGCGCCGCCGCGGATCAGCGCCGTCGCCGATCGGAGGCCCTCGCTTCCCCCCGGCGGGCGGCGCGAGCCGAGAGATGGACGGCGGCGCGGGCGCGGGCGCCGGCCGGAGGAGCGTCTCCTCGTCCTCCGGATCCAGGAGGAGGGTCCCGCCCGCCGAGAACGGGCACGGCCATGACGCCCCGCCGCCCTCCAGGCGCTCCTCCGTCTCCCTCTCCCGCGGCCACTCCACGTACGTGATCCGCCCCGCCGCACCCGCCTTGCTCATTTTTTCGCTGCTGCTCTGCTTTTGTTATCCGTAGACCGTGCTCCGTACCTAGCGCGGTAACGCCTCTCTGGTGTGGTGTCTTCGGTTCTAGACTTACCTTGATTAGCTTCCGCGTGCCTCGCTCTGTTTGCAGCTGGGAGCTTCGTTAGCCTAGATTTGACCCTGCTTTATGGAATCGATGGATGTTACGCACTTTTAGTCTAACAATACCAAGTACGATTCCTTGTTCAGTTACTACAACAGAAAGTGCTGAATCCCATTCAGCTCGTACAACCATGCTGTACTACTTACGCATGACTCTGGCTGTGGATTTTTTTTTTGTTATTATTATTGGTTTCGCTGTTTCATGACCAAACCGGTCAGTCATTCGCAAAAACCAACACCAATGACCAATGGCGCAGGCCTTCGTGTGTAACGTAAACTACACACGTCTCACTAAACACGTCTCACTAACACAAGCAAGCTTTGATACAACACGTGTCAAACCGTGATTGGTCAACCATGCCTGCTCTCCCAAATGGACAATACCAAAATCCGCTCCGTGCATTACAGACATCACAGCTGAAAAGCACTACCTCGTTGGATCCATTTCAGGTCACTGACCGGCGAGAGGACCGTGAAAAGGCTGAGGCTGTCCAAGGCGCTGACAATACCGGATCACACGACCGTGCACGAGGCTTGTCGGAGGATGGCGTCACGCAGGGTCGACGCCGTGTTGCTGACCGACTCCAATGCTTTGCTCTGTGGGATCCTTACTGACAAGGTGAGGGGATGTTGCCCTTCGCCTTTTTTCGTGTCTCTGCTGCCTTTTAGACGTTCCCGATTTCTCACTGTATGCTGTATTTTGGCGACGCTGGTCAGGACATAACCACAAGGGTGATTGCCCGTGAGTTGAAGATGGAAGAGACACCGGTTTCCAAGGTCATGACCAGAAACCCTGTATTTGTTCTTGCGGACACACTTGCAGTCGAAGCGTTGCAAAAGATGGTGCAAGGTCTGTGGATGATGTGACGATTTCTGCGCGCCTTACCTATAGTCATCTTTTAATGTTGCCTGATGAAAGGTATCCCTTGTTTCCAGGTAAGTTCAGACATCTGCCTGTTGTGGAGCATGGTGAAGTCATTGCAATTCTGGACATAGCCAAGTGCCTATATGATGCTATTGCACGGATGGAAAGGGCGGCGGAGAAAGGAAAAGCAATTGCCGCTGCTGTTGAGGGCGTTGAAAAGCATTGGGGAGCAGCTGTATCTGGTCTGTACTTGAGATATTCCCTACCCCTTCTCATCTTCATTCTACTTTTGAAAATGAAATTATGCATTGAACTTCACTCTACGTCTCTACCCTTGGTCTTTATGTTTCGAACGTATTATAAACTTTATGTATGAAAAGTTTGCCTTCATGGATTTTCTAGTGTGCCCCCTTTAATCATTTCTCCTCCTATTTTGCAGGTCCTAACAATTTTATTGAGACTCTTCGAGAACGGATGTTTAAGCCATCACTGTCTACCATTATCTCTGAGAATCCAAAGTAGGTAATATCCTTTCTTTTTCAAATTAAGTGCCTGCTTGAGTATTCATATAGTAAGTGCCAGTTCAGAAAAACTTACGCGCTGACTTAATTCTTTAGAGTGGTCACTGTTGCACCATCAGACACAGTTTTGACAGCATCAAAGAAGATGCTGGAATTAAAAGTGAGTTCAGCAGTTGTAGCAATTGAAAACAAACCTGGGGGAATTCTAACGTGAGTACATTTTCTTTTTCTAATCACAGTAACGGCTATTTCTAAGCCTTTAACTAAAAGCCTTGCTTTGATTTCTATGACAGATCTAGAGATATATTGATGCGTGTTATCGCCCAAAATCTTCCTCCTGAGTCCACTACAGTCGAGAAGGCAAGTCACATTATAATTGTCTTTGTATCATTATGCAGTCACATGTCATTATTCTCGACCTTCTCATCAACTAACTGCCATCATGTTTGAAACTCCTTTCAACAGGTCATGACTCAGAGTCCTGAATGTGCCACAGTGGACATGCCAATCCTTGATGCTCTTCACACAATGCATGATGGAAAATTTTTACATTTGCCTGTTCTGGACAGGGGTATGTCTATGAACCATGATCTAACTAAATTCAGGCGATGTCTTTTGTAAGACTGTTAAAACGGGTATGACATGTTGTATTTATCCAGATGGAAATGTTGTGACTGTTGTTGATGTTCTTCACATAACTCATGCTGCAATTGCTACGGTGAGTGCCAACTTCCTTCTACTTGAATCTAATGCAAATATTTGTGCTTCCATCTTACTACTTACCCCTATGCACATAATTTTGGGGTCTGAGGTTAGAAACCATTTTTGGCTATATGTTGGTGCCCACAATACTCAGTTTTTCAGTGTGCAAAATAAAGTTTCTTGAACTCAGACTCAGTTGTCATTTGAACTGTAATTTGTATAAGCTGTCACTGTCATTCGTACTGCAATTTGTGCTATAATAACTTTTAGTAAGATGTACGTACATGGTTCATTATGTTAGTGTACTTGTTTTCTCAACTGAGCATGCCTGATTACCTTTTTGTGTTTAGGTTGGAAACAGCGGGGCAGCTGGATCTGAGGCAACATCTGCCATGATGCAGAGGTTCTGGGATTCAGCAATGTCCATTGGACCTCTTGATGATGACGATGACTCCAGAAGGTTAGTTTGCTCTTGCATCCTACTCCCTCCACTCCAAATTATAGTTTGCTTTGGTTTTCTCCTAATTCAAACTTCTTCAACTTTGACCAAGTTTGTTGAAAAATGTATCAAACATCAAATTAATTTCATTAAGTTCTCCATTAAATGTATTTTGATAGAGTATCTTTTTGAATTTGTAGATGTTAAATTTTTTTTTTCAAAAAACTTGGTCAAAGTTAAAGAAAATTATTTAGGACAAAACCAAAGTGATTTATAACTTGGAACAGAGGGAGTATCATTCTGATGGCATCTTGTGTCTTTTGTGTGACTGGTTTACCTGGCATTTTCCCAGTGAAGGATCGACAAAAGTGGCATCTGAGGCAACAGATATAGGAAGATCAGCCTTCTTTCCAGCTTCTGGTTTATCAAACACTTTTGGGTTCAAGATTCAGGACAAGCAAGGGAGGATGCACAGATTTAACTGTGGTATGCATCCTCACCTCAATCCATGCGGACTGGAGTTTCATCATTTTTTTGGCTCAGCGATTTAAATTGCTCTCTGAACTTTGTGTTCTGAATGTCAGAAACGAGCAGCTTGACAGAACTGATAACTAGCATTCTTCAGAGGGTCGGCGATGACATTGACAGAAAACACCTGCCACAAATTTTGGTACTGGCTGAACCTAATGCCTTTCTCAATATATGTAACAATATTCACATCGCTATTTCAAATTCCTAAGTTTGTTCTTTGTTCTTTCCCTGTGCCACTTTACAGTATGAAGATGAGGACCATGATAAGGTTATACTTTCGTCAGACAGTGACCTTATAGCCGCTGTAGACCATGCAAGACAGATCGGTTGGAAGGTAATGTCGTTTCCCAAGCAAAGGTGCACCTTTGTTTCCTGCCAAAGATGCTCATCGACGCTCCTCTTTGCAGAGCCTAAGGTTGCACTTGGATTACGCCGGTGATGGCCGCCGGAAGAGAGGGGGTGGTTCTTCAGACTTCGAGTACGCTGGCAAGGATGCATGGGCTTCTGCGTACAGTGCTGTCGCGGCTGGGGCGGCTCTGGTTGCTGGGCTCGGCGTGATGGCATACTTGAAACGGTCAGGGTAAGCTTGGAGGCAAGCACGGCAGGGAGCACGCTTTTGATCGTCTTTGTGATACAAATGCAACTGCATCGGAATGAGCAGAATGGCTGTGTAAGTAATTCTTGTGAGAGAAAAAAGGAAGATTTTAATAATACTACTGTCAAGGCAGTGGATGGCCGCCTTCATACATGTACACGGAATTGGTCGAGTTTTTTTGGTGGGTTTCACAGTCTCCATGATTAATTACCATGGCTGTCAGCGTCGTCACGATTGTATTTGTATCATAAATCACATGATCATTACACAACTTACTAGAGTCATGATTGGCCTTTCTCAGGCAGCGTCTCCTTGTGCAAATTCTCAGTGTCTTGATGAGCCTCACTCAGTGTCTCGTAGAGCCTAACTGGCTGATTAGGCCTTATTTGTCAGCCTTGTTTGTTTTAGCTTCCGGCTGTCTTATGTAGGCGAAGCTGAGCCTGAAACAAACAACTAGCAATGAAGGTGATTTCTGAAAGACAGAAGCTATGTTCGTACTAAAAGCCAAAAGCTGGTTAGGCGTTATGCCTGTTATACGTTTGTACATTTCATTCATAATACAGGAGTTTAACCAAGGCGATTCTTCTCCAACAAACAAACATGCCGGGCGTGAATTACTACTACGGTTACTACCTAGACCGGGCCTCTTTGCTGCAAGGTCATATTGTTCCTCAAGACCCTAAAGCCTTGTTCCAGCAGACTCCGGATGGGGTTGGTTTTGCTTTTGCCATATGGCCCAATGCTCCGTGAAAGAAAACAACCACCGCACAAGGCACACCTTACCATGACCGCCTACAGTACAGATGCAAATGGCTCCGATCTCCGATTCTCCTATTAGCACATGTTTTGTGAAAGCGCATCAAGTGTGATTTGGCGGTCGAATAACAAAACAATTTAAACAACTAACGAGTTTGATGAACTTTAGATAGGTTTCATGCTAAATGATCATATCAAACTTACACCATATTTCAAATTGATAAAAGACAAGCCATTAATAAGGCAAAATGAGACAAAGAGAAATGAATATAGTTTAGTTTAGTTACAATGATGGATTGCTTGCATAAATGAGAAGAGATTGATAGTTAATTCATATGGTTGGAATTAAATCAATAATGGATAAGTGAACAAATGACAAACAAAAAAATCAAATAAAAAGAGAGAAGATAAAACGAAAATATAAGATTGTCTTAATACTGATTTGCTTGTATGAACATGTATATGTTGATAAAAATTGATATATGTCAAAATATGTGATCACGCAGGCATCCACACACACACAATCCATTGTGATGCCACGCGCTGCAGGCAGCAGCCCCAGTGCTCCACTAGCTGGAACAGATGCTGGATCAAGTTGACATGGGGGCATTTCAGCATTTGATGCCTATGCGGCGGCGCGTGTTCTAGGTAGCCGCCCGGGGCAGAGGGAGGCATGAGTATTAGCGTACGCTGCGCTGGACTGGCTTGTTCCGGTGCGCCAGCTAGCCTAGCTGCTCTCTCCCTCCACGGACCACCATCTCTCTGCCGATCCAGTCAACAAAACGGCAGGAGCCGGACCACGCGAAACAAGTGCAGGCGCAGTCACTGCATGTGCCAGCCGCCAGGGCACCAGCTAGGGATCATAGACCTGGCACGTACCACTGCACCACACATGCCTGGGCTGTGGCGCTGTGCAGCCTAGCCCTGTGTGGCCTGTGGGCTCTGGGCTGCGTGCGCGGGGGCACGTCCTGCGTGCTCGCTCTGGCCGTCTGCGGTGGCAGCGCGCAGCGGTACCGGCACGGTGGCCAGTGGTCACCACCACAGCTAGCGCGCGCCATCCTATGTTTCCGAGTTCCGACGCCGGGAACGACCGGCCTGTCGGCAGCCTATTCGGATTATAAGCCTGGGTTTATCAGCCAACGAACAATATTTTTCTCTTACATCAAACTAGCCAATAATACTTTTAGTCATATCTTATAAGTCAATCCAGCCGAAACGAACCGGACAAGGCTGAGCTGGCGCGCGTGCCGGACGGCGAAGGAGCCGCTGTGCACGCACACACGCACAGCGCTCGGCGCGGCTGGGGTCCCTCGTTCGTCTACCACATGGCGGACTGCCGGTACCTGTCGGTGGATGCCTGGATCGCTGGCGCCGATCGAGCACGCGCAGCGCGCGCTTGATCCAATGGTCCATCACACTCACACACGGCCACGCTGGCGCCCGCCGCGCCGGCCGGCGACCGTCGGCCGGAGTCCCGGGCCAGCCAGCTGGCTGGCCGACACCAAAGCCTAGCCCTCGTCCTTGAATTAATGCGTCCGCCCACCAAATTAAATCCGTGCTTGCGTTCCAGTAACTGTTATGTGAGCCGTGCGTGTGCCCACCCCACGACACCGTACGTGTACGTGCGCGCGCGCCTCGGCCGCCGGCCTGCCTGCTTGGAGCTGTTCGCTGGGAGGAATTTGGAGTAATAACAAATTTGCGAAGGATGAACAGTGTTTTTTGGCCGGCACAGTGATTTCCGGCTGGTTTCCAGACCAGCCGGCCGGCCCGGTGCCGTACGTGCATGCGCATGCCCATGCGCTTGTGGTGCTCGATCTGATGTCATGCATGCACCTCGCACTGATGTCATCGCCGGCCGGAGCCACGCATCACGTATGCATGCATGGCGCATCCCTCTCTCCTCTTCCGCCTCCGTACCTAGCTTCCACACGCCGGCAAGCTTTGGCGCGAGGCACCTTGCCAGGAATATAACTGAGAGTATAGAGCAATTTGGCACGAGGCACCTTGAATTTGGTTCCAGGCAATTCAGTGGCATTATATATTATAATATGCTCGTCACTCGTCAGAACTCGGAATTAAAGGGATCGCGACGACGATGTCAGGACGACGATATGATGCGTGTTGCACGTACTGTTGCGTGCGTGCATGCACATGCACCGACAAGAATAAGAACTCGAGCTGAACACTGAGCAGCAATATACTCCGATCAGCAGGTGGGGGTAGTTACAAACAGATCCGATCTACGCGACCAAAATGCAAATGCAGTGCTCCTAGTGGACGACCGTCAACGACTCAACGACATGCATGCATGCACAGCATGGTCCCTTCCCTAGTTACTTCCCTCCCTGCATGTAGACTTGTAGGAGCCGACTCGTAGAGTGCTTGGAATTCGCCATCGCATGCAGGCGCGTACGCCCTTGGATACTTGGATTCAGAGCTAGCTATCGCGCCCTCGCTCCAGCGTATATATAATTAAGGTATGGTCTTCAAACTTGTTCCGATGTGTTATGCCAAGTTTTTTTACTCGTAAATTACGTTATTTTGGTGTGTGTCACGCTGGTTCTCGTACTCTCAAATTGCATCATTTCAATCTTTAATCTCTATTTGGGTCTCAGTGAACATCCGTACGAATCTAAGAACACACCCACACATCGTCGTCGTGGCATGCTGACATAAAACCAACATACATGTCACCTCCATATCTTCTCTCCTAGCTCACTCATGGTCATCGCCGGTTGGGCCATGCTGCTCGTCGGCCATTTGGTAAGAGCGAGGGGTGCAGGCGGCCTTGCGAGCTAAGGGATGACAAGAGGTGGCATGGCGACAACGCTGGCCGTCCAACAGGGATGAGGGCGTATGCAGGCGTTGGAGGGGCGCGGAGATGATAGGGGACACAATGGGTGAGTGGGACGGAGCGAGGGATCACCAGAGTTACTTGATCTTGCACTGGTCGTCATGCTAGTTGGCCTTACCGCCGAGGCGGCCATGTTGGCCCTACACGCCACCGCCAAAGCGAGCTCCACAACCGCATCCACGACTTACCTATGCCCACCACCAGTCGCATGCTCGCTCTGCCACACTGGTACGCTACCACTCACCGACCTTTGTGCCTACTACCACAGCCATTGTCGTAGTTGCCGCCTAGCGCTACGCTGAGCACCACCCGGCCTAGCCTCGTCGTCCGCGAGCACCAATAGGCTACAAAGCACAGTTAGCCCTTGATACCTACTGAAGAAGATGATATTTTTGGAAAGTCTATTTTATATGTATAGGCCATCTTGTACATAACACCATCCGTTCTAAATTATAAGACGTGGCTCCACGTCAGCAAAACAACCATCGAAACCGTCCAAGTTACAAAACCAAACGGTTTTAAAAGTTAAGGGGAGGAAGCGGAGGGTAAAAAAAAACAGTTTTATAAATGAAGGATGTAAATCAGACGATCGCAAAAGTTGAGTGAGGTCGAAAGAACTTTTTTTCCTTAGCTTTTTTTAGCAACTTTTTCCTTAGCTTTTTTTTTTAGAAAACTTTGTCCTTATTAGCTACTTATATGCTATACGCAGACCCCTTCCAACAGGAAATGAACGTCGTCCTACCTCGAGTACAGTAACATACTCAAGTTAAGTATGTCGGCAGCATGCAATGGAACCGATCCGATCCACCTTCTCCGCCGGCTGCTATCAGCTACTGGGGCACATATGACCACCGGCACGGGTGTATACGGACTCAGATTGGGTAACGTTCCTTCAGCAAGTCACAGCGTACGGCTGCCAGCTTTCTCCCACGAGATACTTTAGTTTTCCTCCGTGAAAGCTAGGCGGGAGTGGCTGCTCGTTCGCGCGCGCTGCGCTGGTTTTCGGCGGGCTGCGCCGACCCGTGCCCACTGCTCGCCGCCGCCGACCCGAGCAGTCCTGCGCCGCCGCCCGTCGTCCAGAGGGGCCGAGCCGTCGAGCTACATACAACGAGCCGGGACGCTGTTCCGCAGGGTCGCCGCCGCCGGCCTGGGCCAAGCAGTCCTACGCTTACCCGAGCAGTACTGCGCCGCCGCCCGTGGTCCGAAGGGGCCGGGCCGCCGAGCTGCACAAACCGACACAGTGACGCCGTTCAGCAGCATTGCCGCCGGCCCGGGACACCGTCGACGAGCTCCGTGAGGACTTCAAAAAGTATCAGACCTCTTCTATGTCACAATCTTGTATTTAGTGCTCACTTCACATTCAGAAAATTTTTATCTCACCTGAAATCCAACTAGCACTAGAAGTTCGTGGATGTGCATGTGTGATTTCCAATATTAAAAATGAATCTACAATATACAAACTTCAGAGATTATAGGGTTGTGAGTAGTTCAGTATTTCAGTTATTTCAGATAGGTCCTACCCAAGCTCAGAACCTGAGAGATTCACTGGCTGAAGCCAAGTCATATATTGTTGTGAAGGTTTGTTCTTCTCTTGTCTAGTTTCTTATGAAAAAACCACATATTCTGCCTCAGAACATGAGAACATGAGAAAACCACATCGACTGAAAGATCTGTACTTTTTTATGAAAAAAACAAGACGTATACTTTGCTTCAGTGAAAAATCTTATTTTATTTTTCCTCTGGCCTAGTTTCTTTGAATCTTTATTAACTTCAATTGGAGAGAGTTTATAATTCTTTATTCTGTGCAACTTGGACATGGCAATAATGAGCCAGATACTCTGCCTCCTGTATATACTTCGGCACTGTTCTGTCAGTCCAACATGCTGCTGCCTTTTTGCTTTCAGATTGGTCTCCGGAAAGGATCCAAATCTTTCGAGGAAGGACGTGCTGCTGGATTCACTGAAGAGAGTGGAACCTTGGGCAATATTTGGGAAACTGTCTCAGGCAACGATCTTGTGTTGCTGCTGATATCTGATGCTGCACAGGTTTGCTCCATGTTCACTAGCTGCACGGTTTCATGTGCATTCTTTTGTATATGTATACTTCTGTATGATGCTTGACAGCACATGGAGTTCAGATA